GATTGATTTGTGAATGTTGAACCACCCTCACATCCCAGGAAGAAATCCCACCTGGTTATGATGGATAATCCTTTTAATCCTCTTCCCCTTTCTCCACATCCTCACCAACATTTGTTGTTTCCTGCCTTGTTAATTTTTGCCATTCTAACTGGTGTAAGGTGGTATCTCATTGTGGTTTTGGTTTGTACTTCACTGATGACAAGTGATGTGGAGCATTTTTTCATGTGTCTGTTACCCATTCGTATATCTTCTTTGGAGAAATGTCTGTTCATGTCTTCTGCCCATTTTTTTGACTTATTTATTTATTTATTTTTGGGTGTTGAGTTTGATAAGTTCATTATAGATTTTGGATACCAGCCCTTTATCTGTAATGTCATTTGGAAATATCTTCTCCCATTCTGTGGGTTGCCTCTTAGTTTAGTTGACTATTTCCTTTGCTGTGCAGAAGCTCTTTATCCAGATGAAGACCCCAAAGTTCATTTTTGCTTTTGTTTCCCCTGCCTTTGGAGACAAGTCATGAAAGAATTTGCTGTGGCCGATGTTGAAGAGGTTACTGCCTGTGTTCTCCTCTAGGATTTTGTTGGATTCCTGTCTCACATTGAGTTCTTCCATCCATTTTGAGTTTTTTATCTTTCTGTATGGTGTAAGAGAATGGTCGAGTTTCATTCTTCTGTATGTAGCTGTCTAATTTTGCCAGCACCATTTATTGGTAAGACTTGTCTTTTTTCCATTGGGTATTTTTTCCTGATATGTCAAAGATTAGTTGACCATAGAGTTGAAGGTCCATATATGGGCTCTCTATTTTGTTCCATTGATCTATGTATCTGTTTTTGTGCCAATGCCATGCTGTCTTGGTGATTTCAGATTTGTAATATAGCTTGAAGTCAGGCAATGTGATGCCCCCAGCTTTGATTTTCTTTTTCAACATTCCCTTGGTGATTCAGGGTCTTTTATGGTTCCTTACAAATTTTAGGATTGTTTGTTCCAGCTCTTTGAAAAATCCCAGTGGTATCTTAATAGAGATGGCCTTGAAAGTCTAGATTGCTCTGGGCAGCATAGACATTTTAACAATGTTTATTTCTCCAATCCATGAGCACGGAACGTTTTTCCATCTCTTGTGTCTTCTTCAATTTCTTTCATAAGTGTTCTGTAGTTTCTAGAGTATAGATCCTTTTCCTCTTTGGTTAGGTTTATTCCTAGGTATCTTACGGTGTCTGGTGCTATTGTAAATGGGATTTATTCCTTAATTTCTCTTTCTGCTGTTACATTGTTAGTGTATAGAGATGCAATGCAACTGATTTCTGTGCAGTGATTTTGTATCCTGCCACGTTGCTGAATTGCTGTATGAGTTCTAGTAATTTGGGGGTGGAGTCTTTTGGTTTTTCCACATTAAGTATCATGTCTTCTGTGAGCAGAGAGAGTTTGACTTCGTTGCCAATTTGAATGCCTTTTATTTCTTTTTGTTGTCTGATTGCTGAGGCTAGGACTTCTACTACTATTGAACAATAGTGGTGAGAGTGGGCATCCTTGTCATGTTCCTGACCTTAAGGGAAAAGCTCTCAGCTTTTCCCCATTGAGAATGATATTCACTGTGGGCTTTTCGTAGATGGCTTTTATGATATTGAGGTATGTACCCTCTATCCCTACACTGTGAAGAGATTTAATCAAGAAAGGATGCTGTATTTTGTCAAATGCTTTTTCTCCATCAATTGAGAGGATCAAATGGTTCTTGTCTTTCTTTTATTAATGTGCTCTATCATGTTGATTGATTTGTGAATGTTGAACCACCCTCACATCCCAGGAAGAAATCCCACCTGGTT